GCTGGACACATTTATAACTGTACTTGTTTATGTTAATTAGTAGTTAATTATTCAACGACCAAGAGTGGCATGTTTCCATGCTCTACGTGGAGTTTCGATTAATTTGAATTCGTGTTAGACAAATAATGGCCAGGATAGAAAATTTGTCACAAGTATAATTTGAAAGTTAATAAATACATATAAAAAATAAATTTGACTAGTATATTCAATATGTTTTTGTATATATTATAAAGACCATACTTGACTATATATGGCTCCGCTACTATGCATAAGCCCCAATATTGAAGAGACAAATACTCTATTAACTCTCTATCGAGTATCGGGATTCTTTTCATTTTCAAAATTCAGACTCTACTTATTCTACTTGAAATAAATTACAACAATAAACTTGTTAATTATTCAATGTACATGTAAGCTATATGTATTTAAACTTTCATTATGGAGAAAAAAATCTTAATTATTGTGTACAAGTTGTAACGCAAAAAATCTCACATTATAATATGCATGAAAAATACAGATGAGATTTATAAAAATAGAACTGAGGTCCCCTACCTATTATTACATGTTGTTGTACTATTTAGGTAAGTACAATATGCAAATTCTAGTAGCTAGTCGGTGAATGAAATGATCTCCAGACATATTAAATTTCGTGTCGAGTTAAACTAAGACAAATAAATTAAAGCGAGAAAAATATCTTCAGACGTTGATATTAACTACTTAATAAAGTCAACTAAAATATCGAAATTGGTTGTTATTTTTGTGAGGGAAAATTAAATACAACAAAGTCTCATCAACATTAAGTACATTTATTTTATATGTACGTAGACTATCTAATTATAACATAATAGGTGAGATATTAACACTTAAATATGAAGTTCATGAGTAAATGCATATGCATTTCACTTGTCTTGTCAATTAATGTTATGACCTATATATATAGTTAATTAGACGATATTTCATACAAAAAAATCTACTATAGTAGAGTAACATAAATTCTAAATAGATTCCTTTTGAGTTATGGTATGTGAAATAATTACCAGTATTGGTCTCCCATGCTGCTATTCTATGTTGAGTTTCGATTAATTTGAATTCACGTCACACAAAACAATGATCGTTAAGACAGGAAATTTGTCAAGGATATTTTGAAATTTAAAATATGTGTAAAAAGTTACTTTTAACTAATATATGCAATATAATTTTCTATAAATATATATTATAAAGAACACACTACAAATATCACATCATGCAAAATACAGATAGAGTTTTTTTGCTTAAGAAACTAGAACTGAGGTCCCCTACCCATTCTTACATGTTTTTGTACTATTGGTGAATGATATGACCCCAAGACATTTTAAATTTTGTGTCGAGTTAAACTAACGTAAACAAATTGGCTCGAAGAGAACATTTGCAATTGATATTAATTCTACTAATTATGTAATAAATATATGAGATATAATTAGACATAATATAATCGACTATATAATCGAAATTGATTATTATTTTTGTGAGGGAAAACTATAATAAAGTCTCATTAACATCAAGTATATTTTTACTCAAGATCAAATTTATATTTCCGATCCCCACCTAGCTTTAAAGGGAGTGCTAAAGTATAACCTAACAACCACAAGTCATTAAGGTCACTCCATTAATTTAGCTTGTCCGGTTAATTAACTAATTGTTCGATATAGTTAGTTAGATTTTTTATTTACTAGTCGACCTAAGTTGTACCCTTACTTTTGGGGAGGGGCTTGGCCTCTGAACCGCATGTGAGACGAGTTCTTACCTCATAAAGATATTTGAGGGTCACAAATCTTAGTCAATACTTGTGCATGAATTAATTGATTTTTCATGAAGTGGACATATCATAAAACTATACTACTTAATTAGAGTACATGAAATATATATGTTTGTCATGAAAATTGGTTAGTATATAGTACTCTTAGCTGTAAATTGGAGGACCCCTACAAGTACAATTAATTTTGAATCTACCAAACAAGAAAACATATTTTTTGGCAAGAAAAATAAAGTATAATGAAAATGAAAGAATAAGGACTATGGAATATCTTGAATATTAATGTTCATTAATTATTGGGGTCTTATTCATTTATAATTATGTTGGTAAGAAAAGGTCCATTCATTTAAGAACTCATTTTTTACCCTCTGACCTTGAATTATTTTTTTATTTTTTTTACTTAACTAATTGTTCAACTTAATTAACTAAATTATTGAGAAAGAAAAAAGTATGGACATATGATTTTGAGTTTGAAATTCAATCACAACTTATTTGATTTACTGAATTAGAATTCAAATTTTATATTTACTATAAAAAATTTAATATAAAACACGATTTTCAGATAAACTCATAAAGTAATACATAACATGTCCAATTCAGCTCCACTAATGATATCGACCAAACAAAGGAGATATTATCTCCTTTTAAACTAAGTAAAGGCGAAAACTTAAAAGTGAATTATTAATAGATGTTCAATGAATTAGAAGGCTTGGATCAAGAAATAGCGATTTTCCCCTTATAATAGTACAAGTAAGAAAAATACCTTTTTATTTTTCCTTTTATACTTTTATTATTATTTTTAATAAAAGGGTAAAATATACTGACAAGTAAAAAATATCAAAGAATTAGGTGCAAGTGTAACTAACTACGGTCCACGACAACTTTACAAGTCCCTACCTTCGGATTTTATATTGATTGGTACCGTTGGTTTAAAAGACTCGTTTCACTAGTAATATTGTCCGCTCTAATTTTCATGATTTAAAATTATATTTACACAATAACTCTTTTGTGTAGTTGTGATCAACGATGTGAAATTTATCTAGGATACTATCATATACACTTCATAAAGGACTTATCAACATCATCGCAAATTAAAAATATGTGGAATCTTAATTCACCTAAAATGTCATGTGCATCTTCTTCAAAAACTTGCAAGCTTAACAGTTTAGGCATACTACATAACATGACCCTTAACTTGACGTCAGCTTGCAACTATGACCTTTAACTTTGGATGTGCACAAGTAGACACTTAAACAGGGGTGGCTAAACATAATTCGAGGCCTAAAGCAAAATTTTAATTAGAGGCCTAAAATTTAATAAATTTTATCTGTATTTATTTATTTTTCTAAATTTTTAGATGTAAATTATTCCTTAATATTTTTTTTATAAATTATTTTTTCAAATATTTTTTTAATTATTATTTTTAAGCAAGACTTTATCAATTCAACATTGAAAAACATCATTTTATTGAGACAATTATTATATGAATCAATAATATAGTTGTATAAGTAATAAATTGATAAATTTTAAATAAAGATGAGAGTTAGAATCATATAATTTGATTCAAAAAGTTGATAACTTGGTATACCCTACTTTAATATGAAAAGCTACGAAGAAATAAAAAAATATTTGTAATTTACTTTGTTCAACACTTTTCGGCTATTGATTCATATTTTTGACAGAATATTACTCTAACTATCAAAGATTTGAAGAAATAGAATACAGAAGGAGTTAAAAAGGATAAATAATGTGAGTGTTATAAATAATTAATTTTTTTCATGAAAAAAATAAACATGATTTTATTTTAATAGAAATTTGAGGCATTGGCCTAAAAATTCATATGCAAGAGTCGGCCCTGCACTTAAACTTGTATAAAATTGAACAAATTGACACATTCGTCCTACATGGCACCCTACATGGAATTTTTGTGTCCTACGTGGCATCTTGCGTGTATTTTGCCATGTAGGACATATGTTTCTACTTGTTCAATTTTATACAAGTTTAAATGTTTATTTGTGCACACTCAAAATTAGAGGACATAATTGTCCGTTGAAGCCAAGTTAAGAATCTTGTTTATATATTATGCCTAACAGTTTATCCGTCATTCTCTTTGATCAGTCCTCATCGGCCCGGCCGGCACCTCTCCTTCATGAGCCATCAATTTTGTAACGACCAAAGGATAATCACCAAGCCAATTGTGTCATGCATAATTTTCATATTAATTAGTAACACCCCATAACTACCCTAATAATAATAATAATAATAATAATAATAGTAAATAACTATTTATACGAAAGTAGGTAAAGTAAACACAAAAGTAAGTTCAGAAAACCCTTACAATATCATTATACTTGTCCCCTGCCATTTGAGATCTTTAAGAGATATACATATTGATGTCACGTACCATGCATGGACACAAAGCAATTTATGTATTCACAGAAGAATTTAACTTCTTATATGTAGTACAATATTATTATTTTTATATATAATTACATCATTTATTATAAGTAAAATCTTTTAAAAAGTTGAAGAGTAAATCAATTTTTTTGAAATATAATCTTCTATAACAATTTTGAATACATTCAAGTTAGATATGTTGACTATGTTTGGTAATCGGAGTATCCAAGGATATGATCTTGAGCTCAATATAATGAATTGATGTGAAACACAAGGTTTATGTTCAAATTCTAATAAAATAAAAAAAATACTAGGCGAATTCTTTCGTCTAGTCACGCCTTGATAAATAGATATACTCAAAATTGGAAGTATTTAATAGAATTAGTAAAAATAAAACTAATTAAGTAGTTTTACAATATGATGAGTGTATAGATCAACACACTCATTCAAATATAATGATAATGTAAAAAAAAGAAAAAAGAGTACAATAACCCCACCTCCAACAACAACATTACATATCGCGTAAATGTACACAAATCTTATCATTATTTTACAGATAAATAAAAAAAGTTACGATAAAATACTACTCCGTATAAACAATCTAACGAATCATGTAATCATCTTAATAGATAAAACGATAATCGAAGTGTAACAATAAACAGAGTACACCCACCCACCCCTCCTTACCCCCACCCCCACTAGAAGAAAAACACCCTGCGGCCTGCGGTTTTCATTCTTCTATATCTCTGTGACTCTGTGTCTATATCTATATCTATATATATATATATATATATATATACACACACTTGTCTACCTGTTCTTTTCACCATTCTTCTCATCTCTATCCTTTAATTTCTTTAAAAAAAATTACAAATCAAACACAAAAATGGCAGCAGCTGCAATTTCTACAATCTCAATGATCGATTCCAACATGGAAGTTGACAAATTAACATACGAAATCTTCTCCATTCTCGAAAATAAGTTCCTCTTTGGCTACGATAATGACCCAAAACTTTCTTCTGCATGCGTAGATAATCTCAATTTCTCCACCCCTAAGAAAAATGTCCCCGCCGGAAAAATCAGGATTCTCTCTATTGACGGAGGTGGGTCCACTAATGGCATCCTCGCTGCTAAATCTTTAACCCATTTGGAAACAACCCTTCGTCGGATAACCGGAAAGAAAAACACCCACATTGCTGATTTCTTCGATGTAGTCGCCGGGTCCGGTACCGGCGGGATCCTCGCTACTCTTCTCTTCACTCGTGGGAAAGATGGGGTTCCTCTTTTCACAGCAGAGGAAGCTCTCAAATTCCTAATCGAGAATAACCGTAAAATCTCTCGATCTTCTTCAAATGGAGTTCTCCAGCGTGTTTTCCGGCCACCGGTGAAGGTGTTCGGAAAAGTGTTCGGCGATTTAACTTTAAAAGAAACTGTAAAAGCAGTTTTAATCCCCTGCTACGACCTCACCACAAGATCACCGTTCCTTTTCTCCCGTGCTGATGCTTTAGAAATGGACGGCTGTGATTTTAAGCTGTCAGATGTATGTGGGGCCACAATAGCTGATCGTACGGTGGAAGTGAAATCAGTTGATGGAAGACGAAAGATCACAGCCGTTGGTGGTGGGGTCACCATGAATAATCCAACGGCTGCTGCTATCACTCATGTTCTTAACAATAAACAAGAATTTCCCTTTGCTAATTCAGTTGAAGATTTGTTAGTAATTTCATTGGGCAACGGAGAATCAGATTCCGGCACCGGAAACATGACTTCATCACCGGCGGCATTTGTTAAGATCGCCGGAGATGGAGCTGCCGACATGGTACGTAAACATTTTTTTTGGTTCATGCAAATTATGTCGGTACTTCACCGACACACGATGGTGGTGAAATGATAAATATTATTTATTCAATTATTGTTAATTAGTCGGGTCTCAATACAAGTAATGAACATAGAATGAGAGGCTAAAAACAAAGTTGGTACTTTGGAATTAATGAGTTTTATTATTATGGTACCTTGAATTACTTAATTTACAAACTAAATGGTCCACTAAATCTTTTGATTAAATAATTTACCTAACTATATAGTACTAGTTTATTAGGAACTTTAATTTGGAATATTAGGTAAATATTTGCATTAAGTATAAATATCGAGAAAAACGAGTGTATCGATCTATCCTTTTTTTTTTAGGTTATATTGTTTATTAAATATTATTATCATCCATGCTAGTATTAAATAGAGTTAACTCCTCCGAGCTTCAATTATGGAAGAAGGAACTTAGTAAGGTAACAATTAATATTATTACGCGACAGCTTATGATGTTCATATCGATCAATCATGCTCAAATACAATAATTGTACTGGCTCTATTATATTGCTTGTTTCATTTCTTCTGGAACAATCACAAACATTTTTTTTATCGATACATAATGATATTGATTTTCAAGTAACTTGATTGTATAAATATTTTTTATATCGTCAGTTTACGTAGACTAATGTTTTTTTGTTGTTACTTATAACAAATGCAGGTAGATCAAGCTGTATCAATGGCATTTGGAGAATTTAGAAACAATAACTATGTTAGAGTACAAGGAAATGAAATTATTGGAAAAAAACAACATATGATAAAAGATGAAAAAATGAGAAAATCAATTGTCATTGCTGAGGAAATGCTAAAGCAGAAAAATGTGGAATCGATATTATTTCAAGGGAAAAAATTGGTGGAAAAAACAAATTTAGACAAATTGGAAATATTTGCAGGTGAATTAATCAAAGAAGAAGAAATGAGGAAAAATAGTATATTATCTCCAGTTGTTTTGAAACAATCACCATCATCTCCAAGAACATCATCTGCAACAACTTTATCGACTATTTCATCGTGTTAAATTAATTAAAATAATACGAAAGATCATTGTATGCATCATGATCATATATTAGCTCGATTTTAAGTTAGATTAGTAAGACGAGTTAAGTTAACTCGTTGAATCAAGGGTTTGAAGCCACTCGCGATGAATGATATAATCTTAAACATCCGAGTTTGCGCTTAAGTTTTCAGTTTATTTATTTTAGGTTGATTTTGTTGTAAAATGTAAATTTAGGTTATGAATCTTGATGAATGTGTGTGTATTTTTGTTGTTAATATTATGAATATATTGCTTATTAAGAGCAATGGTAAGCACTTGGTGGTAGTAATTCACTAATTTGTATGCTTATCAACACTAGTAATTTTAAAGTAATATTTTAACGTTAAAATGCCCATTTTACCCTTTTAATGAAATAATTTCTAGTCACACATATATCTGACTTATTTTAAACCACAAGTTTCAAAAGTTCTTAAATTATGTGTCAAGTCAAACTAATTCATATAAATTGAAATCTAATTGTCTCCTTCAATAGAGATTTTATTTTAAGTAGATTGAATTTTTATTTAGAGTTATTATTAACTTGAAATTTAATTGTCTTCTTCAATAGAGATTTATTTTTAGCAAAATAAATATTTCTTTTGTTCCAATTTATATGAGTTAATTTGACTTGACACGTAATTTAAGAAAGAAAGACAGACTTTTGAAACTTATGATCTAAAATAAGTCACAGATATTTGTGTGGCTAGAAATCCTTTCATTAAAGGTAAAATGAGCATTTTGAAGTTGAATTATTACTTTCCGTGAAGCATCTTATCATTCACGGAAAATGATTCAAAGAAATACATTGCACCGTCAGATTCATTTTTTAATCGTATGATCGTTTTAAGCGATACATTGGACCAAGAGGTCACAGAGTCAAGTAAGACAAGACTGCATACAATAAACCGAATATGATTTGAGGTATTGGACCTTTTCCACGCATCTTAGGTGGAAGACGAAGAATGCCTCCTCCTACTTTGGGCAAGCCAAGCCATCAATGAGATAGAGAGAGATCGTTGTTGAAGGGCTAGAATTCTAACCTAATGTCAGGATCTACGGGTCAAGGTCTATGTGTATGATCCTAATCATAGGGTCAGACGCAGATAAACACATTGAACTACCCATGTTGTTGAGACTTGAGAGCCCTCAAAACCCAAGCACAACGAGAGCGTTCTACTACTTAGCTAATAGCCCATCAATAACATTGAACTACCCATGTTGTTGAGACTTGAGAGCCCTCAAAGCCCAAGCACAACGAGAGCGTTCTACTACTTAGCTAATAGCCCATCAATCTTTCTTTCTACTACAATGAGCTACCCATGTGGTTGAGAGCCCTCAACGCCCAAGCACAGTGAGATCGTTCTACTACTAAGCTAATAGCCCATCAAACTACACATCGGGTAAATAAGAGAGCTTAGTGCACCGAGTTACCCTCCTCCATACATGGTTTCAAAGCATGCTTTATGAAAAGATGGCGCATCAGTCTCTTCTTTTTCAATTCCATAAAAGTTGCCTACTTGTTAGTCGAGTCGATAGATCATGGCAATCAATTCGATGCAGTATGGTTAAAATACACCTTCCAATTTAAAGGTATCAAATATTTTTCAGCAATCAACCATTTCTTAGCCATAATTGCCAACACTAGTATAAACTAGCCAGCATGCAGCAGCTACATTAGCTCAGCAACTTCTAAACTTTAACTTTTCCCATTACACAGTTGTACAGTACAACAAAAAAAAGGATTTTACATGAAGAATCATGAGGGGACTCACTTCGGAGGCAATCCAACAAGACCAGCAGAATTCATCCTCCAAATCTCTTCAAAGATGAAGTGACTAACGATCGTTGATCGTCAATAACTCAGCAGACAGTTCGACCATAGCAGATTGATGCAATGTAAAGATTTTTGGACCATTTTTCCTGACAAATGAATGGAAGCAATTTGAGAGTAGAAAAGGAAAGAACAAAATGAGTACATTCATAATAAATATGCAAACTGCATTGCACAAACTCCTGTCAAACGGAACATCAATTGTTTTATAAACATAAGACACCAATTTTCACTTTTTTTTTTTTTTTTTTTTTTTGAACTTGGTAACTTCAATTTTCACAGCTTTCAAGAAATCAAATTCCTTCAACTATTTAAATTCAAAACTTTGATGTGACATTTTCTCTATCAAACCAACTTTTTAGCCGTCATTTTCATATTTTCTCCCATGACTAATACAATAAACAAGCCAAACAAACATCCTAAATTACGGGTCCAGTCAAAGAAACGTCTTATAATGGAACAGAGGGAGTAAGTGGTATATTCCATCAAAACTTCTTTTGTAAGTATTCCACTTGTTAGATTTAAGGAAAATCAAGGCAAACAGGAAACATGCAAGGGTATGAAAAAGAATCGTCACCTTTACATGGGTACTTGGGAAGGCAGATGTCCGCAAAGTTTCTTGAGTTTCATCAATCATTTTACGTCTTGGTATGCTCAATATGAAAGCTGCTTGATCAGCGGTGGCAGCCATAGAAGTTATTCTAAACCCACCTTCCCACCGTCGATGTATTCCTTCACTTGGGTAAAGGAAGTCGAGTTCAACAACCTACAAAGCCATCTTCTTTAAGCCACTATTGTTGAGGAATTCAAGAAATGCAGTAAAGTGACAACTGAATGAAAATAACTTCACCTGTTCTGCATATCCAGCATTTCGGGACATCACCACACCCCATCGATTGCCAGCAGTGGTCATTGATGTTACATGGAAACCTTCTTTCCATTTTTTGTTTATCCATTTAAAAGGAAAAGATTCACTTACTTTGTAAGACTGTTGTGTATAAGGAGTTCCTGATTCATTAAGCACGGAGAAATTAATAGATTGCTTATAAAACAATCAACAATAACCATAATCAAGTTGATTCACAGCAAGCCTATTCGTGGTAAAAACATCTGCAGCGGATAATCTTAGCAACAAAATACAGCTCACCAACCAAAAATACAAAAAGATGGGTAACCAGAAATAAAACCATCCATATATCTAACACCATTTACATATTGTAGCTCTAACACCCTTATATCAGCTACAGTTGCCTTGACCAAACCAAAATGTTCTGAGGCAGCAATGACAAATAATTATACAGGCCAGTCATTAGCTTGTGGTCTCAACTTTATTCTTCTTTGTGACCAAGATATCCCATATGAGTTAGCTGGTCCAACCCCAAGTGTAGGTTCAAATCATGGGGGAGAATGCACCCACCTTGCACCCTTCTCCAACTTAAATACCATGCTTCATGTCAGTGACGGGGTTTGAGGTTTGAACTCATGACATGCGTCCAATCCATGCTTCCCAAGATGTGTCCTTACCTACGTCCCTTACCACTGAACCATTGCCTCCAGGCTAGTCTGTGGTCTTAACTTTCCCTACTTTTTCAGCAGCTAAACAATGGAAAGTGGTGGTAAATTGCTATTTGGTATTCTAATTCTACCAGACTGCAACTCACATCCGAAAACATCTCATAAAAATCTGAACTATGGAACAGGTCCGAAAGACATGAGTTAATCATCAGGTCTACCCTTATACAGGGCATATAATTCTACACTTACCGATGTTTATAAGCAAGAGAACAAACCACATGAAGATCCCTATTGTTCAGTATTAAAACCACATGAACATCCCACTTCACCTCCCGGTCACTCTTGTACCAAGAAACCTTCTATGCTAAAGTTTTATAGATAAAGTAGACTGAGCCGCAACATCCCTGTTGTTCATCAGAACCACATCACTTGGCCCCCTTTCCACCTTTCTTTTTCTATTATCTAATAAAGCTACTTAGACCAACCAGCAGGTATGACCACACTCTTAAACAGCAAAAAAAAATCCACACCTTTTTCCAAACAGAATTATTTTCTATTCCATCCTTTGCCATTTGACTGAAGACCAGATCTGTGAAAGGCTAGTGCACATGTGCAACAAAGTAAAAGAAACAATTGAAGGGCAGGTAACATGAAGTTCAAACAAGTTACAGACTTGAACTTAATCTGTTAATAATACTTGGGATATTCTCATAGTCGCACAGTATATACCATATTCAATCTAGTTATTATACGATGGTTTTGTTAAGCACAGACTTCTCACTAATAAAGAAATTTCCCACCAAAAATAGAAAGATGGAAACCATATCATTCCACAAGGAGAAGTCCATCAATTGATCCGTCTGTAAACACCTCAAACTGTGAAGAAAACAGATAATTTTTCCTTTAATATCTAACCTTTGGACATAACGACTAAGGAACTTCCATTAGTTGCACCAGCTATTGAGCTGATGTAGTAGTTCTTTTCCCACTGTTCCATAATCCAATCCTGATAAGAACAACAACCGAGTCGGACAATTGTTTGAGTATATAACCTTGAAAAGGAAAGAGACAAAGATAATCACTGAATATGAAAGCGCAAGGTGATTGAGATGCTAACCTTATGGAGGAAGGCAGCTGAAAGCTCGTAAACCTGAGAAGAGAAACCGGTTCCTGCATCCATGATTAAGGCCCACAGATTGGCTGCTGAAGCCACACAGCTGATGTAAAGACCATCTTCATTTCCCTTGTCTACATGCTGCCTAAGCCTAGTGTCGGCAACATTGTAGTGGTACCTATAAATTCATCATGATACTTTTCTATCAGCAACTCATACTATTATGGAATCACATTCATTAAGAAGATAATTTAACATGAATATCCATGTTCTATGTAATAAATACTCAATTCATGAATAGCTCACGTAATCCCGAAAGTGTGATAACACTTTAAGTCCTCATAAGTAAACCTACCAAATCAAATAGTTTATACAAGATGTAGCCTGTCTTACCAGATCCTATAATATGATTCATTGAAATAGAAGGTAGAGGTGCACCAAAAAGGTTGCACACAAGGGAATTCAAGCACTGAGACACCTCGTTAAGGAATTATAATAATGACCAGATGTGTTTTTTGTTTTTCTGTTTTGAATTAAATGAATGACCAGACATGTTTAAACTCATTATCACACTTTCATTTCTAGCAACTTACCTCTGCTTCATAGGACGTCTTGCATTATAAACAGAAATCCATTGTGTTGCCGGACTACCTAATCGTACTTTTTTCTTTGGTTGCTCGTCTTCCTCCAAGTTTATAAGCAACCTTCCCCGCTTCTGCCCAACCTGATTAGACAAGAGGCAACAGGTGAGTGAGAAACAAATATCGTCGTGCAAA